TCATGACACCTGTCCTTAGCTCGAGTACTTGAGCAAAGTACACGTATAATGGACCGGACATCCATATACGTAAATTACCTCCGTCGTGTAAGAAGCACAATGGGGCGGTGGTGAGTCGTTACATTTTAGCTCACCCAGTGAATGAAAAAGACCACCCTGATAAGGCCCTCAGGGCAGGTGTTCACGTAAAGCACTTCGACATTCGTGACGGGATGAGCTATAGCATAGCCAGACCACGGAACTTTATGAACATCGATATAATACACATAATAATTTTTAAACAAAGATCATTCCCAGATATAATTTATGTCTATTTTTTGAATTTTAATAAATTAGGATTTTTTGGAATTTTAAGCCTTATTTTAGAGTATGTGGAATGATTGCATATTTTCATATAAATTCTTTCTTAATAATTTCTCCTATTAACATCATTTTCATATATTTTGCATTTAATTTTCATTTTATACACATGTTTGATCATAGCTTCTTTGTGTATAAAAATTTAAAATAAAATTTTATTTGATCTTCACGATCTTGCTCTACTTTAAATATTTGTAACAACAATATAATGCAACAAAACGATGTATGGAAAACTGTAATGGCAACCTGTTGAACTCAACTACTAAACAAATAACTTGTACTTGGAACGTGCATCATAGTACCACATATTTACTGCATACTACTGCAGCCAAAAACTACAGCTGTTGCTCGTGGTGGAACCCGATAGTGGTGGTGGCAATATTAAAAAAAAACGAATGAACCTAGCTAGTGTTTGGTGCTCTATAGAACATAACAATTACCACAAAATGACAATAAAATAGTCACGTATTCACTTTGGCAACAAAACGAAACACTTGCAACATAAAGGAGCCATAGTTTTATAATGAAGTTGCCAAAAAATCTAGAGAGAAAAAAAAACAAAAACGAAATAGAAGGGAAAAATGAGATTTTATTCTAAGCAAATTGCGCAACAAACCATTTATGATTGTTGCTGTTGTTGTATGTTAGCAACTGCTGCTGCAATTGTGAAGTTTTGCTGTTGTCGTGTTGTTAAAATTATTTTCGGACTATTTTAACAATTGCAAACATTTAGTGTTGCTGTTGTTGTTGTTTTTATTGGCGGTGGTGGTGGTGGGTAGAGCTTTAATAGTTTCTTGACACAAAAAAAAAAATAAATTGCAAAATTTGCATTTAAAACATTAGACCTGCTGTGTATGTATTTGTCTAGGAAGATAAAATAAAAATTTCGTTGAAAAAAATACGAGTAGCGCCTTTAACAACATAACTGCTGCAATTGTTGTTACAGCAACATAATCTCATAGAACACATGCAATCATGTTGATACAACACAATTGAAACAACTACAACAAATCTAAACTAAATACGCGTGCGGTTTGCAACTTTATACTCACATATACAAGATACAAACAACAACAACAACAGCTATTGCAGGCGTCCCCCCTGCGAGAAGTGAAAAAAATTATGAGCCTTTTAACAGACTGTGACAGTTACAAAGTGCCAAACAATTGTGAGACTGTTGAACAGCAGTAGTCGGCAACTTACAGCATAAAATTACAACAAAACACAAAATTCAAATTTCGTTTGGCAAATGTTGTCAAAGAACTTCTTGGCTCAACATCATCAGTATGCTGAACTTTTGTTTTTGTTACGTTTCATTCTTCTATTTTTGGAGTCACATACAGTTAGTTACAGTAAACAAACTGTTTGTAGCATTAAATGCGAATCACAGTTGCTGGACATGCATATGCATCCATCTGCTGAAACACTAAATACTAGATGTATGTACGAGTCGAGGTTTTCTTCCTGCTGTGCCAACAATTGTCAATACATAGTACATATAGCATAGTTCTGGAAATAGACCGCAATAACGAAGCCGAGACTCACAACTGCAGCATCACTATTATCAAGTTGCCCACAAACAAACAAAAATGCATTCTAAAACAAAAACCAAAATCAAATGAAAACTTTGCTCAAATCAACACAATTTTGCAGCTTTAAGCCAAAAAAGAAAAAATAAATACAACAATTCATTTCGTCGAGATATTTTTCATTCAAAATTGTATTGAATTAATGAAATTGAAATCTAGAAGACAATTGCAGCTACTGGCGATTACTTACACTCATCTAGGTATATTTATATGCGAATATTTATGTTTTTGGTTGCACACACTCTCTTCCTCACCCCTGCCACACTTTCAACAAGCTGTGTTGGTTGCTGCCAACTGTTGCTAGCTGGCTGTGCTTTAGCTATTGATGGTGACCGGGTAATTGCATTGAGAGTTGACTGCCTCATGCACAGCTGCACAACCAATTTTACAAGTGATTGCAATCAATATTAAGTTTTAGGTTACTTACGTGCCACCACAGCCACAAAGAGGACTTTCAACGTCTGCTTTGCAGTTTATGCTTAAAAAGCTTAAATCGTTTTCAAATAGTTTCAATAGCCGGAAGCTGTTAAATAAAATGTATTCAATGATTATTTTTGTTGGTCTGCATGTTGTCATAGATGGTAAGATGATGCTGCTCTATAACCTTTATGAAGAAGTTAATAAAAAAAAAATAACTTTTTTTATTCCCAAATTATTCTTGACTGGGATTTTAAGATGTATGTATTTGGAAATTGATGTGATTGATAGTAGTCTTTTACTGCGGAAATCTAAGTTTTGGTCAAGAATATTTTTATCGTTTAAGAATTTTAGGAACATCTTGAGAAAGGCTGTTGAAATATCGCAATGGTTTCGAATATCAAGTGAAGTTTGTTTATATTATATTATACGGTCCTGAAACCAGTTCTAATTATGACCAATTCTACATTCCTAGAAGAACCTGGGGAATTTTATATGTCCGTTTTTCCACGTTTTCTCTACAATTACTATTGTATTTAATTTGACTCCAAAACTCATCTAATTTTCGTATATTATGATTCATTCGAAATCGCTGAAGCACTTCTTAACGACTACGAACATGATATCCGACAAAATGTAATTTTGTAATGCCTTTGATAACCTTTCAAATCTGTATAATTTCTTTCTGTATAACTGCCGTTAGAAACATCCTACATAAACTCCTGAGAAGTTTAATATGAAAGTCTGTTTAATGGTGTAAGTACTAGGCTGGTCCACTCGGTTTTTCAACCGGTTTTAAAACTGGCTTTTTCTGATTTACCAGTGTCGGTTTTTTCTAAATATTGATTTTTCGAATATCAAATAACCCGTTTTTTTACTTTTTAAAAACCGGTTTCGAATATGTACTTTTATTTATTTTGTATTTAAAAAAATTTTGAAGTGACCGTCTAAATTTGAAAAATATTGAGTCCAGAAACTAGACAATAATTAATTTGCGGCTAAAATATTATTGATGTGTTGGAATGCCTATGAAAATTGCCTAAACAGGGATTTTAGAAAAAGCTAGGATTACATAGTTCCTATTATTTAACAGAAGTGACCCATTTATTCCATTTTTTTTTTTACTTTAAAGAAATAATGTAAATCAGACTAGTAGATCTAAATTTATAAACTTTTAAACTGTTAAAAATCGGTTCGGGCCATCAAATTTAAACAAAAACGTTAATTTTTTCAAAAGAAAATATATTTTGTTATTTATAATAACCGTTTTTTTATGAATTTGAAAAATATCAACCGGTTTTTTTTCAAATGTCAACTGTTCGAACTATTCGAATCCCGGTTTTTGGAAAATGTCGAATAATCAATCACCCTAGTAAGTACTAGGGTGATCGGCTCGATTTTTCAACCGGTTTTAAAACCGGTTTTTTCTGCTTTACCAGTGTCGGTTTTTTCTTAATGTTGATTTTTCGAATATCGAATAACCCGGTTTTTTCACTTTTTAAAAACCGGTTTCGAATACATACTTTCATTTGCTTTTTATTCAAATATTATTTAAATATAATTTTTAAGTAAATAATAATACACCCCGTCTAAATTTTAAAAATATTCGAGTCGAGGAACTAGCGTATATTTTTCTACAGCTCCTTTGGTTAAACTTTTTTGATTTTCCTAATTAATTAAAAAAAATTATTTGTAAAATTGATAACTGTTTGATAAAATTTTATCAATCTTAAGATTACATTCCAATTATAATAATTAATTTACGTCTGAAATTTTATGGAAGTGGAAGCCTATGCAAATTTCCTAAACAGGGCTTTTAAAATAAGCTAGGATTACATAGTACCTTATGTTTAACAGAAGTGTCCCACCTTTTTCCTTATTTTTTTTTTTTATATTAATGAAATAATGTAAATCAGACGAGATCTAAATATATACCCCCTTATTCACAAACAACATTTTTATTTTATAAAAGGTTTATAAAACAAAATTTCCATATAAAATCATATTTTTAAACTGTTTATAAAATAAAAATTTTGTTTGTGGATAAGGGGGATAATCTTTTAAACTGTTAAAAATCATTTCACATTAATCACATTTTTTAAATGTCATCTATTCGAACTATTCGAAAACCGGTTTTTGGAAAATGTCGAATAATCGATCACCCTAGTAAGTACACAGTGAATACTAGAATAATCTCGACTCTCATATAATAATAAGAATCGCGAAACGAAATAATCCTTTTTAGAAAGTTTGATGCTGAGGTAACAAGAACCTTAGACTAGGGATTATTGGATGAGGAATTTGTTTTTGATGTCCTGGAACAGAAAACTACTACATAGAATAAAAAAATGTATTACTCTGATAAATCGGGAAGGATCACGGAATACTTTAATCCTTATTAATATGTTTGTTTTAATAAGCAATTTTCAAAATTTAAAATCCAAAAAAAAAATCTACATTGTTGCGTTCCAAATGGTAAAGGTTATCTATTAAGAGGATAATTTGTTTATACATTTTCTTTTTTTATAAACACTTTAACAATATATTTGTTCTTAAATATTCAAATAAAATTAAACTTAAAATTAAACAAACAAATAAGTAAAAGTAGTAGCAAAAAAAAATTCAACAATTAATTTACCAACCATGTTCCTTTTGCATAACATGTTTATAAATTGTATACGGCACTGGATAAGGTTTCGGTACAGAAATCTTTATCTGTTTAATAATCTCAACCGGATAAGGTTTTTCGACCTCAACGGGATAGGGTTTTTCCACCGTAAATGGTATACGTTTCTCGGTAATTTCTGGAACAATACGATAAGTAGGCACCTGAATTTCCTGCTGTACGGGTACATGAACAGCATAAGGTTCGGGAATTTGTATACGTATAACATTGGGAACCTTAACCGCTACCGGATGGGGTATAGGCAAAGGTATTTTTTCAATAACTTGTACCGGTACAGGTTTAGAGATTTCCGAATAAGTTTCGTGGGTTTGATGATGTTGGGCGGCAGCAGATAATGACTGATGAGGATCTGGTAGAGAATAATCCTCGCTGCCAATATGAGAACTTGTAACAAACGATGCAAAGCACACATACATGAGGATGACAAGACAAAAAATCTAAGGAAGTGTTTAAAATAAAAAAAAATATATCACTTTTAAATAAAAGTTCTCAAAACACTTACATTTGATGCAGCCATTTTGTTGATTATCTAAAACTGTTTAATATTTTCTACTTTAGTTTAAATAAGTTAAATTAATAATTTATGTTTTACTTAGTCGTTGTGTGACTTAATACTGTAACATTTTTCAGACATGGCCTTGGCTTTTATGCAAAAAACCTTTCTTCTTCAAAAAGCTGCTAAACAAAAAGTGAAAGATTCGTTTTCATTGTGGTGAATATTTTCACTTTTTTTATTAGCGTTTTTTGTTTTTCACCACTACTACTCTATTGCCTGAAAGGAAAAGTACTTTTGGTCAGTGTGTTTTTCTTTCAGTTCGCCTAACTTCATAATTATAATGAATCTCATATTGTGCAATCAGGCATTTATTATATCATACTTCACAGTGTATTCATTTTAAAATGAAAGTACCCTTAATTTTTTGTTTTTATTTCGTCTATTGTCTGCTGTTCATTTGGCCATTAGAGAAGGAACTGCACTAGACTGCACAGTTTTGTCGTAGTTTTTCCATTTCGGAAGAAAATAGATCAAATAACAAGTGGAAGTAAAATTTTCATACAACAATAATCACAGGTAGCGCCCTCTCTATTTTTTAAAGTGAAATAAAAGCAAAATAGCAAACATTACAATAGCTATTCAAGTTAAATGCGATTGAGTTACATTTAAAAATACATAAAAGAGTTGCCAGATTTTGGAAGTTTATATTTATAAAATGGGTGGGATAAGAAAAAAGTTTTTGAAATTATTTGTAGAAATCTTTAGATAGAAATTGAGTTGCACTTAATAAAGTCACACTTAGTCTGAATTACGATGGTCGTTTGCGATCGAGACCTTACATCTGAAATTGAAGAAACATCTGCTAAAAAAGATGTGGAAGTGCTTTAGGTTAACAACTGCCGTATTGGCCTTATTTCACGGTGGTACTTTTACAACCACAGGGTGAGATAGACTACTCTCCACCACCTCTTTATGCTTCTTACACGCCGCAATCCTTGTACATGGTTTGCTCAAGTACTTGAGCTATCTAATCTCTGATCATTGCTGCCCCGTTGCTTAACTTCCGAGATGCAAAAACATCACTTCCGTTTACAACAACGCAGATATGATGGTCTTTATTGAGCAAATTATATTCAACGCTTAGTCCCTCTGTGGGAAATCTATTGTCTCGGCAACAGCACCGAACTCATTCCAAATTATAGCCCTTACCGTACATTCTCTTCTCATGAATTTTAGTTTAAAAACAGCCACCACGTACACCCTGAAGGGACCTTTCCAATAAACGGGACAAGACAAAGTCCGAAACTCTTCCCGGCGGACTACCGGTTCCCGTAGTACCAAATTATGTGGTTCTCTGGTTCGATCCCATGTCAAATCATTGCAAGGAAAGGCCGAGGATACATATATGTACATTTGATCATCACCAGTAGTTACCAGTTTATAGTCCCGGCAGACTAGAGATACCTCTTTTCATCGGGATTGCAATAACACCAAGATGAAAGTTGTACATACAATTAACATGTCCAAGTGGTTTGGTTTTAAATATGTACAAAATGAGGGATTAGCTGAGTAATGAGGAATCCATGGACACAAATTCTCGAATTGTTCAAGGTCGCTGCTCTTAAACATTTTACTTAGTGCTGTAATATCTCGTCTTATACAAAGTTATTCGTGGCTTAAAATTGACTCAGAAGCACGTCATTCCAACAGGTTTTCCAAAAGATTCTTCTCGGAACTGCAAGTATCACAGGGAGCGACTACACAGAAAGATATCGCACGTTTCTTACTTAATTCAAAAATACATTCATTTGCATCCACATAATTCACATTATTGAGTAAGATCACAACAGTAAGATCGATCACTTTGACCCAAAAAAGATTTAAATTAGAGTTTTCGTAATTAACGGATTCTTACTTGGAACCGCTCTGGATTGATCTGAATTTATCTGGCAACTCCATTTTAATTGTCTTAAGTTTAAAACACTTGTGATCTTGTAACAAGTGCAGATCATGTTTTTTTTCCTTTCTGTAATAATGTTTTAAACAATTGTTACTGTGTCTTCGGTTGCTTGAAAAGTTTAAGTAATTTGATCTAAAAACGTGCCTGAAACACAAATACATAATAATACAATTTCAGTTTAATTTTATACATTGTATGTATTTGCAAAATCAAAAAAAAAGTGCAGTGTAATTTAAGGTGGTGATATACAATTAAAGTAAAGTTCAATAAGCAACCAACAAGCTTTTCAGATAACTAAAAAAAGCTCGAATTAAAATCTTGTTAAAAGTTGAAACAAATTTATTTACAACTTAACATTTAAAAGTGCAAGTTGTAAAAACAACGTCAGTTAAATAAACAACAACATAAATCTTTTGCGGTTATATCGGGAGGCTATTTTAAGGAAGTAGTTGTACCATTTTTTACCTATTAAACTTTAATCCCAATAGCTTTCTATAAAACACATTTACTCTTAATTAAACAAATTTTCTACACAAACAATAACTTTTTTTATTTTTGGGACCAAATTTTAAAAATATTTCTAAGAACCATTATTTGCATTTGTTTATAAACAAAATTCTGTGAAAATCTACGCCAAAAACAACAAAGAGCTAATGCGTAAAATAACACAACCCCCCAAAAAAAAATAAAGAAACACACTTTCCAAATTGAGGACAAACGCATTTTAAGGCTGCGACCGCGCTGGTTGGCCATTCAAACGCATTGTGAAAAGATCAATATGGTTTTGGAAAGATTTCAACGAATTTCTCAAAGACATGCAAATTAGAAACGCTTAAAGATTTTGCATAAAAAAATAAAAACAACAACCATTGTTTGTGTTTACTTTTCTACACTCAAAGAAAAATTTTGTACTATAAGGCATGCATTTTATAAGGAAACTTTGATTTTAAATAAATTTTTCCTAAAACTTAAGTGTATTGTGGTTTATATTCAAATTTTTAACAAAAAACAAAAATAACTATCTAAAGACATTGTACGAAAAGTACAAAGAAATTTTTGTTCTAACTGCCGACAACAAAGACATGGTATGCAAAGCATGAGTTTTAAAGGAAGAAAAAAAAAACGTAAAAAAATAAAATTGTTACCAAAGACATAGGTTCATCTTTTAGCCATCAGTAGTGAAAATAGCAACATCATCAAGCTACAGCAGTTTTGTCGTCATCTTAAGGATTTAAACTTGGACTGCTTAAACACATTTTGAAAAGCTTTGAAGATACTGGAAAAAAACTACTACTTTAAGTTTATCTGTGATCATTTTAGATCAGTTATTTGAAATAATTTAATGTTTGTAGGTATAAAATCCATGAACAGGAAACTCGAGTTTCTGCTATATGGATCTACTTCTAGTATCACATTTAAAGATTTTAATTTATCCCATTCCTTTCCTGTCAAAAATCTATACATAACTTTTGATTGCATTAAAATTACTAAACCTGTTTTTTTTTTGTATTGTCAGAGAATACCAAACTTTGGCCCTCCTCTAATATTAACAAGAGCTCAAGGTTGTTCGTAGGGGAGGTGCCATTCCCCTCACTAATCTACTATTCTTCTCCTAAATATTAATAGGTTTATCTAAGTTCATCATGTAAATTTTAAGGATGGTAGAACTTATAATTTTCCAGATATACGAATTTTAGTCATAAATTAATAATGGGAGATGCCACGCCCTCTATTCCTAGTACGTCAAATTTTGTTCTAAACATTCATATTATAACTAATGTTAATCGTACAAAATTTGGTCACTTTAGCTTTTATTCAGAATTATACGAATTTTATTCATAAATTCATAAGGGAAATGCCACGCCCTCTATTCATAGTATGTCCATTGTTGTTCTAAATATTCATATTAAAACTAAAGTCAATCATATAAAATTTGGTGACTCTAGCTTTTATAGTTTATTCAGATAAATGTATTTTAGTATTTAATTCATATGGAAGGTGCCACGCCCACTACTGCTAGTTCGCCAATTTTGGGTATATGGATGTCAAAATATTCCGTGCAAAATTTTGAGGATTCTAGCTATTGAAGTGTTTTTTATATAAGACTTTAGTGGCGTATCATAATGTCCAGTGACATAATGTCCATGGACGTTATGACACACTAAATTGAGTCATAGTGTCCATGGACATTATGACAATTTCAAAAGTGTCACAATGTCTATGAGCATAATGACATAAAGTCCATGGATTTCAAAGAGTTCATTTATAAAAAAAAAAAACAATTTAGCAAAGTCGGTACCCCAGAGTTTGAAACCCTTGCGCCCAAGACCACTATCCAGAATCCAAAACGCAACATACATCAAATTTCTTTTCGGGACAAGAGTGTCCCTTTCATAAATTCTAAACAAATTTTCCAATACATTTTTTTAGAAGTGTCACAATGTCCATGGACATTATGATACTTTTAGGAATTGCCATAACGTTCATGGACACTATGACACTTTCTGGTAATGTCACTGGACATTATGACATGCCACCTACGACATTTAATACTTATTTTCAAAAAGGGTGTGGCACCTCGTCTATTTAAAATTTCATAAGAAATATATGTGCCCAACTGTGTGATAACTGTGATAGTTCATGTTTGATCACTCTGTTCGATGAGATATAGTTGTAAAACAGTTATAATACAGTTGTAATTTTTTGGCTCTCGAGGTTTACTATCTGTTTTCGGTTGAATTTTCACAGACCAGCAGTTTAGGTGGTGAAGGTCAATATCTGGTATTTTCATTAAATTAACTATTTTAAGCCTCTGATTGTAAACATTTGTATGTTGACTACTTTTCTTTGTTAAATTTTGTGTATGTTTTTGCTACTATAAAACAGACAAGTTTGTTCTTTCAATCGTTCAATCGATCGATTCATGCCAGGTCGGCAGGCAGTCAAAAAAAAGTAAGAAAAAAAATAAAATAAAACTCTACAAACAACATTTAAATATACTCGTACAATTGTTCAGATGGAAGAAATACAACAAACAAATATTTAACATATAAACAAACAT